TTGTTGCTCGAGGAGATGTGTGTCCAGGTGCAAGCACTGCAGCACTGAAGCAAAGGGGCCCAGGTCCCATATATATATGTGTGTGTGTGTGTGGTGTGTGTGTATATATATATATATTCTTTTCCATTATGGTTTGTCATGGGATATTTCTTTTCCGTTATGTTTTTTTTCATATTCTTTTCCATTATGGTTTGTCACAGGATATTGAATATAGTTCCCTGTGCTCTACAGTAGGACCTTGTTGTTTATCCATCCTGTATATAATAGTTTGCCTCTGCTAATCCCAAACTCCCAATCCTTCCTTCTCCTACCCACCCCACTTCAGCAACCACAAGTCTGTTCTTTATATCTGTGAGTTTGTTTTTGTTTTGTAGATATGTTGATTTGCATCATATTTTAGATTCCACATATAAGTGATATCGTATGGTATTTGTCTTTCTCTGTCTGACTTACTTCACTTAGTATGATAATCTCCAGGTCCATCCATGTTGCTGCAAATGGCATTATTTCATCCTTTTTTATGGCTGAGTAATATTCCATTGTGTATATGTACCACATCTTCTTTATCCATTCATCTGTCGATGGACATTTAGGTTGTTTCCATGTCTTGGCTATTGTAAATAGTGCTGCTATGAACATAGGGGTGCATGTTTTTCAAATTATAGTTTTGTCTGGATACATGCCCAGGAGTGGGATGGCTGGATCATATGGCAACTCTTTTTTTGTTCTTTGAGGAACCTCCATGCTGTTTTCCATAGTGGCTGTACCAATTTACATTCCTAGGGGGTACTACTGCACCTGTTCCAGGATGAGCTGCATGGCCGGGTCATTCATTATCTGCTGCACCTCAAGGCAGCCACGGCCCATCACTTCACATCTTCAGGCTGTCGTGTTGGTTGTACTGGGCCATGAGGTAGCATTGGTAACCATCTGCTCCTTCCTTTACAGTTGGCGTCCAGGTCTGATGCCTTCTGGTAGACATTTGTGGCCTTTGGGTAGTCTTTCGTCACTTCTAGGGCAGCTGCTTTCCATGTATAGCCCTTGATGAACGTTGGCTCTAGCCGGATACATTCCTCACAGTCCTTGAGTGCCATCTGAAACTCCAAGAGTTTGCTATAGCAGGAAGCTTGACTGCTGTACCATTTAGCATCTTTTGAGTTCTGTTTGATGGCTTCCATTTAATGCTTCCTGGCCTGGGGATAGTTCCTTTTCTGAAAACATGCATTGCCTTTGTTCTTCTCCTCTAAAGCCCACTCAGGGTTTATGTAGGCCAGTCACTCTTGCTCCTGCAGGATTTTCTCTTCCTGTTGGCATTTCTTGAGCACATCTGGGGTTCAGTGCTCTGCCAGAGACTTGTTGTAGAAATGGATGGCATCCTTGTACTTTTCTTTGAAATAGGCATTGCCAATTTGAGCATAAGCTCTGGTAGTCTGTCGGTAGTCTTCTTGGCCAACTTCAATGGCCTTCTCAAAAAGCTCCCGGAATTCACTGTAGTTGCCCTTTTCAATGTACACGGCTGCTTGGTTGGTCACGAAAGTAATGTTGTTGGGGTCCAGGCCTGTGGCTCTGTCATAGAGCTTCAAGGTTGCGTCAGAATCTTTTCTTCTTACAAGCATCATTCCCCAATTCTTTTCCTTTCAGTGCCTGCTTCTTACTCTCCTGAAGATCTTTTTCCATTGGCTCTGGCTTGGTCTCCTTTTTGGGAGGAGATGGTGGTGGAGGTATTGTCCTGGGATCACGCTCCAACTTCTGGTACAGACTGGACATGTTGGAAGGGGTCGTGACTTTCCTGTCTGCCAGCCACGCCTCCATATACTCTGTAAACACTCTTTGAGCCGAGGATTGTTTGCTTTGTGTTTTAAACCCTCCTCATATGTTCGCTTGGCTTCTTCAAATGGGTTTAAGAACTCAAGAGCTTCTGCTTTTCATGAATAGCCCTTGCCCCAGTCAGGCTTGAAGGCAAGAGTTTTGCAACCATCCTCTGAGAGTGTTTCTATTTTTTTTTTTTTTTTTTTTGCGGTACGCGGGCCTCTTACTATTGTGGCCTCTCCCGTTGCGGAGCACAGGCTCCGGACGCGCAGGCTCAGCTGCCATGGCTCACGGGCCCAGCCGCTCCGCGGCATGTGGGATCTTCCCGGACCGGGGCACGAACCCGCGTCCCCTGCATCGGCAGGCGGACTCTCAACCACTGTGCCACCAGGGAAGCCCCTGTCTGTTGTTTCTGCTAGCTCTTGGTTCAATTGTCTGGTCTCCTCCTGTGCCTGGCTGCCTTAGTTGTGTGCCAAATATTAAAAAAAAAAAAATTAGTTTGTAACATGTTTTGAGGATTAACACAATGTTATCTTCCTGCAGAGACAATTTTGTTTTCCTGTCCCGGTCCCTGAACTCACTAGAAATTAAAGATCATTTTAATCCAGTTTTAGGGATTGAGACTCAAAGCTGGGCTACAGTCTATGTGAGGTCTGCCTTCCACATCACCCTTACTCCCAAGGTACAGCCTTCCAGGGTCTCAAACGAGTGGTCTGTGGATTTATAAGAGCCATTCACACACCCTGTCCCAAACTTTGGCAGGCCCTGGGCTCCTACTTTTGTCTCTGTAGTAATCTAGAAGCTGTTCAAAGTACTGCTCAGCTTCCCAGCTGCCTTTTTAGGATTGGCAACACCCCCCGCCCCCGCTACCTGCCATGGGAAAGCAGCTCCAAATGCCGAGCCTCCCTCTCTGAATTTTTGTCTCCTCCTGTATCTTTTTTTTTTTTTTTTTTTTTTTTTTCAGTACGCGGGCCTCTCACTGTTGCGGCCTCTCCCGTTGCGGAGCACAGGCTCCGGACGCGCAGGCCCAGCGGCCGTGGCTCACGGGTCCAGCCGCTCCGCGGCACGTGGGATCCTCCCGGACCGGGGCACGAACCCGCGTCCCCTGCATCGGCAGGCGGACTCTCAACCACTGCACCACCAGGGAAGCCCTCTCCTCCGGTATCTTGCTCTAGGAATTCTTCACTATTGGGTTGACCCTCTGACAGCTTCAAGCAGATTTTTGTTTCTCTGCAGCCAGAGTTTTTATTAAAGGTAAAGATTGCACTTTTTCCAATTTCTTCCTTGGTTAATGGGCAGTTCATACTGCCTACTCCTTCTTGAGACAGGAGCAAAAGCATGGAGTTGGAAATGAACCTGGAAAGGATGAGGGTTCCCACTTAGCCCAAGTGGAGGGTGCTTGCTGGGGAGACATGGAGAAGGGTGAAGAGAGGAAAATCATGAAGGGCTAAGAGCGCCTAAAAGACTGGGCTGCCTGAAAGAGATGCACGCCCCAAAGACGTCCACTGCCCCCACTGAGGGAGCCCCGCTCAGGTTGGCTGAGTTGGGGGCTGCTGAGTCAGAGAAGGGAGGCCGTGCAAAGTTTCTACCCAACACAGGTGTAAAGTCAGGGCTAGGACAGTAAAAGAAAAAACAACCCAGGAAACCCCAAATAACAGTGGTTTGAATAAGACAGACATTTATTTCTCTCTCACACCAAACAAGTTTGGAGGTGGGTAGTCCACGGTCGGTCAGGTGACTTTACAAGGATGTCTAGGACCTTCCTTTTTTGCTCCACCATCTTCCACTCACAGCCTCTACTTCATGGTCCAAGAGCTTGAGTTTCACATTTCAGTCGGAAAGAAGGAGAAGGACAAAGAGTAACACCTTTTCCTTTTGGGGACACTTACCCTACATCCCTCACGGCACTCATCCTATTGGCCAGAATGGGGTCACATGGTCACACCCACTACAAGGAAAGCTAGGAAATATAGTCTTTATTCTGGACCACCCCATGCCCAGCTAAGAATAAGGGATAGTGGGGACTTCCCTAGTGGTCCAGTGGTTAAGACTCCACGCTCCCAATGCAGGGGGCACGGGTTCGATCCCTGGTCGGGGAACTGAGAAACTAAGATCCCACATGCTGCACGGCACAGCCAAAAAATAAATTAAAAAAAATAAGGGATTGTATTAGTAATGAAGAACGGGAGGAGGAATACTCAGGGACAACTAGTGGTCTCTGCTAGTGCCCTCCCCTTTCCTATCCTGTCCTCCCCCCTCTCCTCCAGGAAGCCTTCCCTGACATCTCCAGTACTTACAGGTGTAAAGTCACTCCCCCATACTCTCCTCTCTGTTCCTCCTGTGAGCCCCCTATTCTGTCCTGGTCAAGTGGCTGGAGCCCTTGGGCCATCATAGCAACACTTCTCTGAGGAGCAAGGTAACAGACGGGGTGGGGGTGGCGGGGGGGGGCGGGAATAAGGTCTGGATCGGGCAGGCACATGACAAGGGGCACATGAGGAGTGTAAGCTGATCCTTCACCCCACCCTCACTCCTCCACCAGAGGGCTGGGAGCCCGGGAGAGAGAGCCAGGAAGGGAAGGCCCACCTTCGAAGCTGGCAAGGCCTTACCTCCGGAAGGTACATAGGCGAAGCTGAGCATCTGCCAGCCCCGCTGCCGGTGTGTCTAGGCAAATGTCTGCCTGGTCAGCCCTGGGACCACCTGTCCTGTTCCTCCCTTTGGGGTCCCACCTTGCCCACTGCTGTCATGTTCTCCAGGACTCTTTGGGTCTCCACACAACCCTCTATTCTGGTGCTGGACTAGGGTCACAGGATGACCCCCAGTGCAGACCCTCCTCCTGCCCCAGGAAGCCACCACTCGCGATGATCACAGAGAGAGAGGGTTCCCCTCTGTACTCCGCTGTGTTAGGAATGGGGCATGGGGGCGGTGCAGAGCTCTTACGCAGAACAGTCAGCCTATAATCACGCTAGACTGTGGTCCTCTCAGGGCTGCAGGAGGAGGAGGGAGGCACTGGCACCGGCTGCAGTGCCAGGGAAGGGCCTGGTTGAGGGGCTTGAGCTGCTCCACAAGAAGAGGAATACTCACCAACCCTTGGTACCAGATCCCCATCCTGCCCCAGAAGCTGTGAATCTTCTAAAAGTTCTTGTATTGAAATCCTTGATCTCAAGCTAGAATTCCCACTCAATTTATTTCAGGTACGAGGAACAGTTTATTTCAGGTGTTGGGATGGACATCCTGTTGGAGCGCAAGGGAAGAGCAGCGAGACCCCAGGTCTAGCCCAGCTCAAGTGCAAATTCCAGTACCAGCCCTGTCATAGACTGAGCCCCATCCTTGTGCATAACCTAAGCCCTGATCCTAGACACAGGCTGAGCCCTGATCTCTAGCTCTTGATTGAGCTTTCTCTGCAAAATTGTTCTTGATCGGCAGGGGCTTGAATGGGGAGAGTGAGCATGTGCTCATCTCCCACCACTGGAGCCTGAACCCAGAGCCCTTGCCCGGTGGTGTGCAGTGGTCTTCAGGCATGTTTCTGTCCCTCATCCCTCTCCTGTCCCTGGGAGCTCCTGCTTTGACCATAGCTGTTAAGCCGGCCTCAGAGCTGAGAGAATCTTCAGCCCTGCCCCCAGCTTTGGCCCCAGCCTCGCCTAGACTGGCCTGGCCTGGCCAGGAGGGGCGCTGAAGGGGCCGGGAGATGAGGACCCAGTGTCCTAGGGTGTGAGTGGCCTTTGCTCTTGGACTGGAGCCATCAGAAATCAAATCTTCCTGGCCCTGAGGGTGCCTGGGAAGGGGGCGGACCTGCCAGCCTGCGCAGAGGTTGGGGTTTCTGCAATCACTCCCTCCTTTGTGGAACACTGACATCTCCGGAGGCAGAGGCTTCCTGGCATCACCAGGTAAGACCTGGGCATCCTGGGAGCACAGGCAAGGGAGATGGAATGGGGGTGCCAGAGTGGGTTGGCTGGCCTGGGAGATGGGGTCACAGGCCAGAGTCGGGGCGGGGGGGCCGCTTATGGAAGGGCAGGTGGGAGAATGGGGGCAATGGAACTAGGACTGGAGGTATAAGTTGTCAAAGACCAAAGCCTGCCCTGAGGAGGGCATCCACCCCACAACCTGGCCAGGCCTGGACTCTTAACCTCTTCACCCCGAAGGGGCTGGGGTGCAGACGGCAGCCTCTGGGTGTGCAGACACAGGAGTGCAGGTTTACAAAGCAGTTGAGCTGTGATTGAGCAGAGGGAAAGGGCTGGGCTGAGGGGTTTGCCTGATCCTGGGATGATATATGTGTTAGGGCTGGGTCGGACCGTGGAGGATTTTTCCCTTAGAGGAAGGAGTGCCTCCAGGTAGGAGTTGCTGGGTGGTGGCAAGAGGCAGGCGAGGAGGCCACAAGTTTCCAGCCTGATTTCCTGCTGTGAAGGGTTCTAGGGATTATCTCCCCTTAAGGGGTTTCTGCGGTCTGCCTGTCATGAGTGACCTGGGACAGACAGGTCACTGACCCTCTCGGAGGTCACACACGGGCCAGGAGCCTGGTGGGAGAGGCTTTGAGAGAGCTGAAAACTTCCTCTGGCTGCCGGGGGTGGGATTGGCGGGGGAGGGATGCAGAGCACGGTCTGAGCCCCAAGCCGAGCTGGCTCCCGTGAAGGCACCAGACCCCTGCCCTTCCTGCCCTCCGCAGCTCAAAGCTTCTTAGGGCCGCCCTGGTCCTTCTCCTCCTGTGTCTGCAGGGGCAGGGGGAGGAAGGTGGGTGGCGAGCGGAAAGCAGGAATGACTGCAGCAACGACCGGGAGGAGGCTCTGGGTGAGACTCTGCACCGTTCTGGGTCTGCCCAGAATGCCAGGTCTGTGGGGGTACCAGGGAAGGACCCCTCAACCTAAAGTCCACCCATCTCCACACCCAACATCCCCAGTCCAGGTCTCTGGCCAGGATTCCACAGGGGCCCAGTGGGGGCGGGCAAGATGGGGACTGTTCTCTGATCTGCCCTCCTCCAGACTCCCCTCCTAGCCTAATGCGGTGGGAGCAGGGACCAAAGTGCCTCAGGAGCTGGGGCAGGGGATGGGGCATGGCTGTCAGTGTCACTGCCCTCCCCTAAGTCCCATTCTACCTGGACACCAGCAGAGCTCCTACCACGGTTAGCACCTCTGCCATCATCACAGCTCTACCGTGACTGCCACTGTCGCCACAGCCACCCCACCCCACCGTCAGCACCACTAACACCCCCACCCGCGCCCGGATCATCTGCACCACTGAGACCCTCACCACGTCCACGAAGAGCACCCACCTCACATTTGAAGACTGGACAGAACTTTTCATTCTTCTTCAATAAGTTTTCAGGCCTATAACCTCTCGGGCTGTGGGGCTGGCACGTTCAACAGAGTCTGCAGCCCAAAGGGAGAAGGACTTTGCTGGAGGGTCAGGCAGCAGCGGCTTGTAGCTGAGCTGCAGGGCAGAAGTGTGGAAAGGGGCCGGGCAGACGCAGCTCAGGGAGTGGCTGGAGGCTTCAGCTAACCAGAGCTCACAGCTGGGCAACCTTCCTTTTCAGAAGGGGGATCCGAGCGGAGTCTTCCCTCTGCCACCTTGCATCTGGTCCTGGAGGCTTGGCAGCCTGAGCCGGAGCCATCAGCATGAACGGGCAGTGGCTTCCAGCCGCTGGGCTTCTCCTGGCTGGTAAGTGAAGGTGCGGCCCCTGGGAGTGGGGGGCCTGTCCTAGACCCCGCTCACTCACCTGGGGGACTTCCATGGCTCCCACATCAGGGCTGACCTTCCTTGTCTTCATGTCAGCCTGGCTTTGGTCAGCTCGGAGGATCCTGAGACAGGGCCAGGATCCCCTGCTCAGTCCCCCACACTTGGGGCTCCATGAGGGCACTCAGCGTCACCCACTTGGGGGAACCTGGCATGGGGCTGGCCCCCAAGGGGCTCAGTGCACCCTTGTAGCCAGGTGTGGTATTACAGCTTTCAGAGATGGGTCCCCTCCCCATCCCCCCACCCCCCTGCAGCCCTCCAGAAGCATCCTGTGTTCTGGGAATGGAATAAGGTAATTGCCTTGTTTCCTTGCTGGAGGTTGAACAGCACTTCCCAGCATCCTCAAGCAGCCTGGGTCTCACCAGAAAAGACTCCTTTGAGGAGGGGTCCTGCCATGGGGTGGAGCTGGGATGGGAGAGAAGAGAGGGACCCTTGAGGTATGCCCCTTTACCCTCACTGTCCCCCTTTCTGGTGGCAGGGCAGAGTTCCCGTGTCTCTGGTGGGCTAGGGCCAGAGAAAGGAAGTTTCTCCAGAGGTAGCCCAGTGGTTTGGGGCAGAGCCGGGGCCAGGGTTTGGGTCTCCTCAGGCGCCCTAAAGGAGGGAGGAGGCAGGGAGGGCCGGCATCTAAGAGGCTGTGGGCCAATCCCACCCCCTAGCGGCTGGCAAAACGGGCCTCTCCTGTTTTGCAGCTGTCCCGGTGGTCTCGGCTTCCGCCCTGCCCCGTCTTCCTCCTCACAAAGACCTGGGTCCATCTCCCTTGGCTTCTGGCACATCTGCTTTGCAGGGGGACAGCAAGAAGATAGTCCTCCCATCATTAAACGCCTTGGTGACAGTCCTCACTGGAGTCTTTCCCGCAGCCAAGAGGCCAGGGGAGGCTCCTGGCAGGAAGGGAGGAGCCCTTTTTCCAGAGGCACCTGGGGACCAGCAGGCTCTTCTAGGCTCGCTCCTGGACTTGCCTCTCCACTCGGACCAGCCTGCCCCTTTGGGAACCACTGTGGTCTCAGGCAGGGCCACACCCAGACCAGCTCCATCAGCAGTGGCTGAGCCTGCAGCCCACAGGGCCCCTGAGTCCCAGCCAGTGTCCTACGTGGCTGGACCTGGAGAGGAGATCTTGGTCACCGGGTCTCCAGAGATAGCTGCCATGTCACCAGCGCAGGCTTCTCCACAACCTCTGGCCTGGCCCGTGGGCAGGCACACCTCCAGCCCCAGTGCTTGGGTGCCTTCTGCATCAGGGGCAAGCAACTTCAGCCCAGGGGCCGCCCCACTTCTGACATTGGCTCCAAAGGCCCCAGAGAAGGCCGTGTCCTCAGCACCCCAGGGCCCACTTGCGTTTACATCGATCAGTAACACGTTGGCTGCCACAGAGCCTCTTCTCCCTGTAGCAACAGTGTGGTCAGGGCTGGACACGGCCTCCACAGCGCTCACAGCGGGCTCAGGCTCACCCAGAAGTGGTCTGGCGTCCAGTCTGGGCCCAGCACCCAGCGGTCCTTCAGTGTTGCCATTGCCCTCAGCGGTACCCTCTTCACAGTCGTCATCAGCATCGCTGCCACTGTCGTCCCCACCCTCATCCCTGTCACCTGCACTAACGTCACCATCACCAGTCCTGGCCCCAGTTTCCCCCTTCACCACCGGAGCCAGAACCTCTCCGGAGATGCTTCTGCATCTGAGCTCCCACCTCCAACCTCAGGCCTTATCTTCAGTGTTTCCAGCGTCCCACCTGCCCTGCCACCTCTGGTGGTTACAGGGATGGCTGCTCTTCAGTGGACAGTCCAGCCTGGGCCGATGGTCCCTGCCAACCCAGCCCCCTTGACCACCCACTCCCTCGGATGTGCCTCTGGCCTTCCCGCCGGCTGCCCCAGCATCCCTGGAGGTGCCGCCTCCTCCCAGTCATCTTTCCTGCCTCACCCCGGCCAGGCTGTCTCATTGCAGGACTCAGGTTCCCCCTCCCCAGGACCCAGTTGAGTGACTCACTCTGTGACCTTCACGATCACCAATGAAGCCTTCTCAGCGGCGCTCGGGAACCCTGCCTCCCTGGAGTACCAGCTGCTGAGTGAAAACATCCGACATCAGGTGCGGGCTTCTTCCTCCGTCTGCTCAGGCGTGCTGACCCCAGCCCACCCCCTACCCCACTTACCTCTGAGCACCCAGGCCCGTCCCACCTCTGTGCCTTGGCATGGGCTGTTCGTCCACCCTGGGCCACCTCGCGCCCTCCGCTGCCCTTGCTGCCTGGCGAAGGCTGCCTCCTTGGAGAGGCCTCCCCTGGTGACTCAGAGCCCCTGCCCCGCAGAATCGGCATCCCTCCCTCTGTGAGCTGCCTTTCCCACACCATCCCACCCCAACCTGTGGCTCTCCATAGACCTCAGCTCCCTGAGAGCAGCCGGGCACAGGGCTGGGTGCCCACAGGGGCTCTGGAAGTGTGGAGTCAATGAAACTCACCCTGTGCCTCTCCTCAGTGTGGGGAGGAGCATGTGGAGTGCAAGGTGGGAGCCCAAAAGGTAGAAAACTGACCCTGTCCCGTGAGTGGCTCCAGCAGGAAGGGAGAGCCAGGCAGAGACCCTTGCAGAGAGTGGGTGTGGAGAAAGCGCTCTCCCAGGAGGTCGGGGAGCTGTTACGGAATAAACAGAAGACTGATTTAGATTGCCAGGGTTAAGGGGTTGCCCAGAGAACACGTTTCTTTTTTTTTTTTTTAGTATAAATTTATTTATTTATTGGCTGCATTGGGTCTTCGTTGCTGCGCACGGGCTTTCTCTAGTTGCGGCGAGTGGGGGCTGCTCTTCGTTGTGGTGCACGGGCTTCTCACTGCGGTGGCTTCTCTTGTTGTAGAGCACGGGCTCTTGGCACGTGGGCTTCAGTAGTTTTAGCACGCGGGCTTAGTTGCTCCGCGGCATGTAGGACCTTCCCAGACCAGGGCTCGAACCCGTGTCCCCTGCATTGGCAGGCGGATTCTTAACCACTGTGCCACCAGGGAAGTCCAGGAACACCTTTCTGAGAAAGGGGAATTTTAACTGGGATGGAGAGAAGGCAGCCATTTAAAATGGGGAGGGGCTTTCTAGACAGAGGGAACAGCGTGTGTGAGGACCCTGAGGTGAAAAGGTGGGCAGATGCTGAGGCCCAGGGCCACGGGAGAGAGGGGCTGCATGGAGAAGACACGAAACCCAGGGTGGGAGGGGGAGAATTAGGAGGAGGGGCTGTCGTCCAGGTGTGATGGCAGGGTGGCGGCTGTAGGGATACAGGACAATTGGATTGGAGAGTGATTTTCAATAAAACTACAGAGAAGGAAAGGCCTGGGAAGGCTGTGTGTTTGCTGGACAGCTGGAGGCGCCCTGCGGTTCTCAGTAGAGGGTGATGGGCAGGTGGTCCCTGGCGGCCATGTGGGAAAGTCTTGGGTGGCCCACGGCAGTCCAGGTGGCCAGTGGGGCCATTGCAGGGGCCAGACCAGAGATAATGAGAGTGGACGAGGGTGGGCTGATGCTGTGGAGAAGTGGGGGGCCACGATGACCCTCAAATGCCTCTGTCTGTCCTCAGCTCCAGTCCATCACGAGGCCTTCTCCAGCTTCAAGGGTGTCGGTGTCCTGCTCTTTAGGTAAGTGAGCGAGTCTTTCAGGGTCCACCACCTGCCTGCCAGCCGGTCTGTGTCTTCTCAGGCCGCAAGAGCACTTGCCCAGGCTGCCCCGCCGTGCCCAGCCCCACCAAGGCCAGAAGCACCTTAGGGGCCAGGAAAAGCCCTGAGCGGGCGGGCAGGAGGCCCACATCTGGTTCTGCCCCTGGCTGCGTGACCTCAGGTGACCTCCTGCCTGCTCTGAGCCCCAATTCCAGGTGCAGAATTTGGGCAGGGATGCCAGGCATTGCCTGAATGTGGTGGGAAAGGCAGAGGACTTCCCTGGGGCCAGGAGCCCATAAATGACATGTAAACAGATGCAAATCCCCTTTCTGGTTCTGAGCCCCTGGGGATACTGGGGGGACCTAAAGCCAGATTTGCAAGCAGATGCCAGCCCTGCAATCTCATAAAAAAGGTTGAGAAGGTCCAAATCATCACATGTGAACTGTGAGCTTGGTGTAGACCTTGATAGAGGCTTGATTATACCTAGTGACGGGATTTAGATCGCCAGGGTTAAGGGGTTGCCCAGAGAACACCACCACTATCTTTCCAGGCCTTGAGCCAAGCTGGTTAGAAAGTTTCCCCTTTTAATGAACTGAAATCTCTCTCTGAATTCCCTGCCCTGGGTCTGAACAGAAGCTTTGTCTCCCCAGCCCCAGGACGGCACAGCAGAAAACGGGTCCTCAGGGGAAGGATGAAGGAAATCTGGATCCCAAGGCTGCTCGTTTTCAGATCTCTCCCCACAAACCCCTTCGACCCCATGCTCAGGCCAGGCTGCCTCCTCAGGACATGGCCAGTTGGTCCACCTCCTACAGGCTTTCAGAGATTCCTCAGGCCTGTCACCTCCCTCTCTCCAGATCCCCTGCTCCTGTGATGCCACCAAAGATGTTTTTCTCAGTCTGGCTCAGGTTGACTTCCTGATTGCTCATAGTGGCCGTCTCCCTGGGCGGGATTCCCAGTGTTCCCATTAGAGCCAGTTTGTTGGGGTGTCCGAGGGAACCTGCTTTCCCGAGCACCTGCTTTGTGCTCTGCTGGCTGCACCATTAGTCATCACACAACCCTACAGCAAAGGAATCATTCTCCGCATTTTAGCGAGGAGGCAGCTGAGACCCAGAGGGGTGCTGTCACACAGGGACTCAGTCCATGGCTCCCCCGGTGGATTCCCCTTCCTTGGGACACTGGCCTACCTGTGCACCAGCCAGGTCCTCATCCAGCCCCCAGGGCCCTCCCTGCTCCCACTGGACCCCTGGTAAGGATGTGTCTCTGTCCCCAGGCCTGACTCTGCAGCTGTGAATGCCTCCCTTGTGTTTGGGGGCCTCGCCCCGGGCCCCTCTGCCCGTGAAGTCCTCTGGACTCTGTACCGCAAAGTGAAGGCCGCAGGGAAGTTGTTGGGGACCCTGTCCCTGGATGAGAGCAGTCTCGCCTCTGAGGGTGAGTTTCCGCCCGCCCCCCGCAACCCCCTACCTCAGCGCCTCCTCGCCTGCCCACAGATGGCTGGGGGTGCTCCCTAGAGGGGCCCAGCTCCTGCCCTGGCCATGAGGCAGCGCATGGTGGGTCAGGAGGCTCCTGGGGCCTCCTGAAGCCCCAGCCATGGCTCTGCAGGGTCCGACCTGACCGACCTGGCCCTGGAGACCACCAGCATCCATCCCACGGCCATGAGGCCCTTCCAGCCCCCGCTCCTCCTGCCTGGCTCTGCCCGCTTTGTCCTGCTGGAAAAGACGATCCTCCGACAGGTGAGGTGGCCTCTTGCCCTCCCTCCGAAGCCTGGGACACCCACGTTGCCTTCCTTGACTGCAGGCCTCCATGGCTTGGGGGTGAGGCGTGGGGCGGCACCCAGCCACGGCCCTGTGGGGGGAACGCAGGCATGGAGGGCACACAGCCCTGCCTGATGGGCCCCCGTTTGAGGGGTGACACCCCGCCCGGGGGTGGAGAGGTTGCCTGAGGGAGGTGACAGCTCTGTCCCAGGGGCATATGGTCAGGCTCTGTAACCAGACACCCCTATCCAGGGCCAGCACTAGGGTAGGAAGTGAGACACCCAGGACGCAATATTTAAGGAGACGCTCAGTTGCCTCACCCCAGCCCTGCCCCCACCCCATCCCACGCTGGGTCTCAGGAGTGACAGTCCCCAGGCCTGCTCTGACCTCCAGGACTCCCCACAGGTCACACCCGTGCTGTCAGGATTCTATACAGCGCGTCCCCAGGAAGAGCCCCTGCTCCTCTTCAGGTGGGTTGGGCTCGTCCCCTGCTGCCCAGCCTGCCCTGCTCCTCTCCTGGGGGCCACCCTGGGGCAGAGGGGGCATGACTCCGAGCCAGGCCATGGGAGCCATGGGCTGGGGGCCACCAGGGGAAGGCTTTGTCCCAGATAGCTCCAGCTGGCCCTATAACGCTCTGCCCTAGGAGGTAGGGAGCCCTAGTGCCTGAGGGTGTGCTGGGGTGGGAGGGTGGATACCTGCTTCTAGAAACATGTGCTGGCGGAGCCTGTAACCCCTGCACTCCCTTCTTGTACTCGCCCTAGTAATGCGGACCAGTGGGCGGGCGTTTACATCGAATACAAGTTCCAGACCCCCATCGGTACCCACCTCCCAGGCTTGGCCAATCACCTGGCCCGGAACATAATGGATCCTGCTGTCCAGAAATCCAGCATCATGGCCAATGGTGAGTCAAGGCTGGGATCCCTGTGTGTCTCTGGCCAGCAGCCTCTTAATCTCTCTGAGTCTCAATGTTCCTCCTCTGGAGAATGGACAGAATTTCATTTCAACCACGAATACTCGTGCTGGGGCCACCGAGAAGAATCAGTTATGGAGCCTCAGATGGGGAGCTGGATAGATAAGCTCTGTGGGCCATCGTAACTGTCACAGCTACTCGACTGCTCCCTTATAGCTAGAAGGCAGCCCCAGACAATATGTAGACAGATGGGCATGGCTGTGTGCAATACAACTTGATGGATACAGAAACCTGTATATCACATAACTTTGATGTGCCACAAAATACTATCCTTTTGATGTTTTTCAACTATTTAAAAATGTAAAAACTATTCTTAGCTCGTGGGCTATACGTAAACAGGCAGCGGGAGGGACTGAGCCTCGGACTGGATGGGGCTGACTGCTGGCTGAGAGCACAGAGGTCGGAGTGAGCAGCCCTGCGGCAGGGCTTGGGCCTCTCCCAGGGCTCCCGGGAGAGGGGGCTTAGGCTGATGCCCACCCACCTCTCCGCCCCTCTAGCGGGGAAAGCAGAGCTGGTGCAGTGTGAAGTGTGGCTGCAGATCCTGGACCAACCCCTCGCCAAGGGCTCGTGGGACAAAAGCAGCCCTAAGTCCCAGAAACTTCGGGGGATGCTGATGCGATGGGTGAAGTGGGGGCGGGGGGAGGGAAGGGAGGAGCAGGAGGCTGGAGGCTTCATGTGTGGGGACCCGACAAGGCTGCAGTACAGCTGTGACCCTCTTCCTCCTCTCTGCTCCCCAGCTGACCACCGTCCTCAGGCCTCTGCAGAACTCCGGCCAAGTGGTGGTGGAGAAGTTCCAGTAAGGCCGTGGTGGCTCTGGGTGACCTGGGGCCCAGGGCTGAACTCTAGCGGTGGGGCCAGTGGCTCAGAGAAACGGCCTTCCTGAGACCCCCGGGCTGTCTAGCCTCCTGACACTGGTGAAGATCTTCCCGCCAGGCCCGACCCACTGACTGCCAGGGTGGGTGCCACCTTCTTCAGGGCCGCGCCGGCCCGAGCCCTCGTGCAGGACTGCGTGCTCCGGGGTCTGCATGACCTGCAGGAAGCTGAGGGCCTCTCCGTGGAGATGGTCAGCCCAGACCTCGGTCAGTGCCTCTCTCCTGGCTTCCCTCTCTGTATCTGTGTCATCCGGCCGTTTGCATCCTGCCTCAGGCTCGTTGCCTTGCTGCCCCTGCTCCCCCCTCCTGCCCTCCCTTCCTCCTGGACTAGCCCCCAGCGGGCTGCTCTTTAGGGTCCAGGCCCGGCTCCTCCTCTTCCCGGGAGCCCTCCAAGGTGGCCCCAGCTCTACAGCTCTATTCCTGTAGCTCCTTCTGGGCCAGGACTCCTCGCCTGGGACTCCTCTGCAGGCCTGACTTTGCCTTCTCAGGGGTCTGTGGTCTGGAAGAATGGGGACCCACCCAGCCATCATCTGCGCACTTTGTTCTGAAGCCCCAGGTCAGCTTCACACCCCCACCCCCAGCTATGCTGTGGCGCTCATCGTCCTGGGGCTTCTGCTTCTTGCGCTCACCCTCGTCCTGGTGAGTGTCTGACTGGGCCAGGGTCTCTTTCCCGGGAGACAGGCTGGGCCCTTGACCCTCTGAGTCAGGCTGAGGGGTCACTCCCCACCCCAGGAACTGAGGGGCTTCCAGCCAGGGAGCTTGGCCTGACCCCACCCTTCCCGTCCCAGGTGCTGACGCGGAAGGCCTGCTTCGGAGTGTCCAGGTACAGAGGTCAGTTCTCCCTGCTCCCCGGGACGTTTACCCTGGATGGGGTCGGCCTCGTGCAAACATTTCCCAGTGAGTGTTGACAGAGCCTGGGCGGTACAGTCACTGTGCCCCCAAAGCTCACCCCTCTGTCATGGGGGGTGAACCCGGGGTGGTCGAGCAGAAACCTCTAAATGCGTTCCACTGAGCCCCAGAAATGCTGCAGAGGGTGGGTGGACAGAGGCAGAACTTAGGGCCCCCTGTGGCCGGGAGAGCTGGAGCAGGGAAGGCGATCTGGGGAGGGGGGCTTGCCTCTACCACCAGAGGACCAGGCAGCGACTCCTCCACGCCCTGGAGGAAGTGGGGACACATGCCCCAACTCAGTGTCCCCTTTGACCCCAAAGCCAGGAGGACGTGGGGGAGGGCAGGTAGCACCATTCTGGGTACACTGTTGTTCCTGACTCCTGGCTTTTGTCCTTTCCCCACCCCTCAGGCGCCCCTTCCCGATGCTGCTCCTGCCACTGAAACTGCACCCCAAACCTCTCCTCCTCCCGGCCCTGCCCCCAGCCTTCCACAGTCAGCGCCTCAACCCTGACAACGAGAGCCAGAGCAGCAAGGCACCACCCGAGGTCACACAGCAAGGGGGGCTTCTTCCCTCCTAGCTCATCCAAGGACTAGACGCCCAGGGCCACGACAGAGGCAGGGTGCGGGGGACAGCACCTCACCACCCCACACCAGGGACACCAGGCATGCTCTAACCACGGCGGCACCCACCTCCCCCTGGAAGGTCTGGAAAGCTACTCGATACCATCGTCATACTCAGGTCAGGCTCTGGGGAGCGGAACAGGGCAAGACGAAGGCCTGCAGAAGATGCGGGCAGGGGAAGAGAGCTGGCGCCCTCACACCTGACCTGACACGGTGGTGGGGCTGGAGGTATCATTGGTCTCAAGCCAAACTCCGGTCTTTTTGGGGTACGGAAAATTAAATGATGCAGCGCAATCAGAAGCTGGTACAAAAGACTGCTTTTGTTTCTAGGCAGTCATCCAACAGGAGAGGTTCAGAGCAGAGCCCACAGGAGGAGGAGGCGGGGGCGGAAGACTGACAGGGTCAAGGGTGGGAATGGGGACTCTTGGGGGCAAGGCCTGGTCCCAGCCCCACCTCTGCCTTAGGCCCGGCCACCCTCAGACCAAAGGCCTTGGGGTGCTGGTGGCCGAGGTGTGGCCCGGCTGTGTGCCAGGGAAGGTTGGCGCTGCGGGGCAAGCCGGGCTCAGAGAACAGACCGCCTGGCTGGGGAAGGTCTAGGACGGAAGCTAAGCTGACAACCTCTCAGGGGCAGAGGGTGGGGCTTTGGAGGGGGAGGCAGCTTTCCTGGACCACAGCCAGGGAGGGGAAGGCCTTGGCCCACAAAGCTCCAGCGACTGCTGGGCCCGCTGGGACGTGAGTGATGTGGTGGCACAGGGCCATGGCCTTTGAAACCATGACTTAGAAGGGAAGGGGACTCAAGTGTAGTCTTACCCCAAAGGCTCCCTCGACCTACAGAAGAGCCGGCAGCCCCGGTGAGGGGACCCAGGAGCCCAGGGCCCAGACCATGGGCTTGCCTGGCCGAAGATAACAGCCAGCACCAAGATGCCAGAGAGGGTCAGCAGGAAGGTCACCACGTAGAGGTTGACTGCAGCTGGCGGCCGATTCCTCTGCACTTCTGGAATACGTAAGCTTTCATTCCTACCCCTGAAGGGCCCCTGCCCCCCAAGCCTCTACCCCTTGGTACCCGGAAAGTAGCCTGCTATCTGCACCTATCTTGGGTCAGCCCCCTCTCTCCACGACTTCTGACTCAAGGGCCACGGCAGGCCAGGGACTAGGAGGCAGCCCTGCAAGGTGCTCCCCCAGCCGTCAGGATGCCGAAAACAGCCCTGCTAGTGTTTTTCTTAGGGAGGGAGGGTTATGCCAGCCTTCTTCTCCCGAGCTGCCCCCCTTACCATGCAAGTCCCTGTAGGTGATACAGGAGAAAAGGGGGTGGGATAAGCAGGAAAGAGCCTGAGGGCCAAGGCTGGCCAGTGAACACTGAGCCCCTCTTCTCTTCAGGCTTTGGTCGCCTGGCCCTCCACAAGCCAGGCTGTCGAGCATCACGTGAGGCCTCGCGTGAAGATACAGTTCAGACACACCTGGTGACCTCTGTGGGTTTGAAGGAGAAGGTACAGGGAAGGAAACCCACACGTGGGGACCTAGCATGGTCTCTCTGGAGGTGAAGTGACAGTATACCTGCAACACATAAGGAGAAAGGGTCCACCTGGCAAGGTGAGCCAGCCGTGCGGACACCAGGCTGGACAGACATCACCAGGGTCTACAGGATGGCGGAGGGGCCTGGCAAACCAGCACCCTCACGCAGACGAGTCTTTCCTAAGCAGGTCTTCCCCATGGGCCAGATGGGGCCTGCAGGACACTTCCCACGGCCCACCGTTACACGGACTTTAATTCTCAGCAGCTCTGGAACTGCGCAGTCCCATTCTCCAGCTGAATAAACAGAGGCTCAGAGATGAACACGCAGTGCTACCTTGATCGCTCTGCCTGCTGCCTCCTCCAGAACTCAGTTCATTCTAAAAACCTAAAACAAACACTCATCAAGCACCTGTGAATAGGTGCTAGTATCCCCATCTCGCAGCCGAGGAGAGGGAAGCAGAGGAGTTAAGTGACTTGTCCAAGGTCACAGTCACAGGGCCCCAGAGCCTGCATTCCTGACGACCACATGCCCACAGCAGGGCGGTGCTAGCATCTGCACCTGAAAGGTGGGAACTCTGCTGCTTTCTTACGGCGTGCAGCCCCAGGTTTTGGGAGGTGGCAGTGCAGGAAACAAGCCGGCCCATTGGGCCAGTGGTTCTCCAGGGTCTGAAGGGCAGGGAGAGTGCTGTGAGCCACTCCCCCACCCACCCCAGCGACACTCACTGGGAACCTTGAATCAGCACCTGCCAGAGGGCGGGGAAGGGGCTCAGCCCCCGCTGCACCTGGAGTGGGAGGTGGGCAGGGATGGGCACTCTGCCTCCAAGCAGCCTCAGGCGGATGAGAGAGGACCAGATCTCTTGCCTCACCCTTTCCCCCCACCCCAAGGTGCCCTGCAGGGGAGAAGGGGCAGCTGCCCACCAGGCCATTGCTCAGATGGAGAAGAGCCTATGGGAACCATGGGGGCTGTATCCTAGAAAGAGAGCATGACCTCCTGGTTACTCCAAGGCCAGGCCCAGGCCTACCAAGGTGGCCACGTCTCCAAGGAGGGCCTGGTAGATAAGAGACGCAATGTCCCTGAGCGGTTCTATAAACTTCCTGTTAAGGACAGATGAGGAAATGGGCAAGACAGTCATGTTCGGTGAGAGCCTGGCAGGTAAAGGAGGGGCCAGAAGCAGACAGAGGTCAGCTGGGCCCAGGCCTGGCCCCTGGAGGGACAGCAGGCTGGGGGAGGGGTGTCACTCACCAGCCACAGCGAGGGAGCTCAGGTCCATGAGCAGCTGGGCAAGGCCATCAGCACCTGGGGACCGTCTGCCGGACCTGGCTCTGCACTCGGGCTTCTGCCTGGAACCACAGGTGCCTGACACTGGCCTGAGGTAGGGAGGGTGGCAGGAGAGGCACCTGTGGCCAAATGCAGGCACCTCAGCACGGGGGCAGGGGGATGATGGGCCCAAAAGAGACTACCGGGGTCACGAGCTTAAGCGAGTGTCATCCTGGGACATCTTGTCCACGTAAGTCAGACCTTATCCCCACCCTCAGCTCACAGGCTGGTTGGGGCTTGACAAACAGATGTCAGTGCTGTGGAGAGGGGGCCTACCAGCGTGGGACATCCAGCAAAGATGTGTTTTGAATCTGCCAAGAAGATCCATCCACAACAGGACCCTCAGGTCCAAGTCCAGGGCCCAAGAGCTACGGGCTAGGTGTTCACCAAGGGGCTGGAAGGTGGCAAGGCGATGGCCCAAGGCTCCAGCAGGAAACTGCAGCGGCCAGAGCCTGTCTTGGTGGGGCAGCCCTGGGGATGACTGTGCCAAGCATCCCCCAGGGCCGGGATAGGGGACTGCCCAGGGGAGGGGTCTGAGGACCTCTAGGGAGGCAGACTCAAGGTGTCCTGGGCACCTGGATCAGGAAGCATGTGAGGGCACCCTGCCCAAGGCCAGCTAAGAACCTGGGAAATGCCTTTCTAGTCTAAGCCACTCATGCTGCAGCCCAGATGCCATCTCTCCTCAAATAGGAGATGAGTTGGCAGGGCAGGCACCCTATTCCCTCCCTCCCCGCTCCCCCCCAACCAGATGTGAAGGGAGGTGAGAGGCTGTTGCAGGACCCAGCCTGCCTGGGTTCTCTAGCACCTGGAGTGGGTGGGGAGAGAAAGTGCAGCTGAGTGAGAAGAGCCAAGGTCCCACTGCCCGCTCTCCGCAGGGTGACCTTGGACAAGCTGCTTGCTATCTCTGGGGTCAGGAGACTCCCAGGGGAAGGGCCAGGTTTGGAGGTCCTGATCCTGGAGCCCAGAGCTACCCCTAGAGAGGACAGCCTACGGAGCCTTGTCCTCCCGATTCTGCCCCCGCCCCTGGGAACAGCATCCTCCCAGCTCAGAGGCCATGGAGGTGGAGGGGCTGCACCTGCTTTCAGATTGCTCCATAGTGTGAGTTGGCCTTCATCCTGAGCCGGGGGCTGATCCCACGGTCACCCAGGTGATGGGCAGCTTCTCAGGCTACGGGTGCTCCGAGGTATACCCTGCAGGGCACAACACCGGGAGGGTGTAAGTACATTGAACAGGGCCCCCAGGCCACTCTGGGCCAAGACCTGAGCTCTGTTTGGCCATGGAGACTCTGACCTGCGGCAACCCCTGCTGGGCCTCAGTCTTCCCTGCTATCTCATGAGGATGTCAGTATTGCCTTGGAAGGCAAACAAGGGCAACCTTAGCTCCCAGCAGGCCCAAGACCAAAGGAAGCAGGGTTCTGGGTTGTTCTAGAAGGTGAGGCTGGGGCAGATGAGGGCCTTGCTCCGAGGGAATCACAGCCATCTGGGTCCTAGTCTAGACCCTCATAGGCCATCCCATAAAACCCAACCCTAATATGAACCCCTACGGAAAGCGTTAAAGTCAGGAGGGTGGGGGGTGACCCTCCAGGAAAAGGTTCTTAGGCCTAGGGGAAGGTTTGAGCTGGCCCACAGGGCAGTCAGAAGGGTAGGTGACAGGCATCCTCACAAGATCAGCCAGGGAACCCAGGAGGGGCAAAGGTGTGGTGGTGGGCATGTTCCAGAAGAGAGCGGGCATCCCCCCACTCACCGCTGGGGCTGAGTGAGGCCAGGCCTGTGCACCAGGGGCAGCAGGTACCCTTGCGCTGGCGCGCCTTGGCTACCACGGTGCTCGGGAAGTCTGCACTGGCGAGCAGAATCTGCCTCCAGCCTCCAGCTGGCTCTGCACCCACACCGACCTCTGGCTGCAGGGAGCCAGTACAGTGAGGACTCAGCTGGCACGCTAGCCACCACCGGAGGCCGGGGCCCCTCCCCAGCCTGGAAGGGGCCTGAGAGGCGGTCAGGGCCCCTAGGCTTAGCAGCCCACGCAACACCATGGAGCCGAGAAGACTTACTAGAAACAGACTGGATTTTAGGAAGCAGGCATGGAGGACAGCAAGCACCTGAACCGAGGAGAGGGAAGCCTCTAAGCATGGACTCCATCGCGCATGACCACCCGGGAAGGGCTGGGCTCCACTCCACCACTAAGAGCTGGGGCTGTGGGGGAACCGTCCACCTCGCTGCCTCAGTTGGCCCCCTTTGCTGAGGAAAGGAGGGATAATTGCCTCTCACGTGGAACCTAGGACAAAACAAAGCGTCAGTCCCACATGGGTACATTCTAGGGAGGGAGAGGCCAGGGGCAGCATTGTGTGTGCTTGGGGCAGGGTAGGAGATACGGAGAAAACTGCCTTCTTTGAGGGCCTAGGAGAAAGGAAGATAAGCAGAGAGGAACTCCCAGACATTCTGCCTCAGGCCCTTTTCCAGCCACCCTCTAAGCAGCTCCGCCGTAACTTGGGTGGCACTATTCTTACCGCCAGTATGATTTCCAGGCTGAGCCGGGGGTGAGGGAGAAGCAGTGCATAGGTGACGTGCGTGAGACAGAAGTGGAGAGGAGCATGGCTGCCTTGGAGGCCTGGCCTGGGGCTTCCGCCACGGTACCTGCCTTGCCCGTGCCGGAGCAACCTGCCAGCTGTGGCCTCCCACTCAAAGGTACCCAAGTGCCAGGACCGGAGCCAGACTCCCCTCAGGGGCAAGAGACAGAGTGGGATGGGACACAGGCCACCCAGCCATTATTGGGGTTTAGGGCCTGCTTGCCAGCTGGAAAGACAGAGGGACTCTGCTTGAGGGAAGGACTGGGCCTGGGCCACTCAGACCTACCTCTGCGACAGGGGCAGTCCCATCCTCCGGTTAGACTCATAAGCTGACCAGAGGGGACCTGTAGTCCCCCCCGAGTCCCTACCCCCTCCCGCCCAAGTGTTCACCATAAGAAGGGGTGCAGAAACACCCGGCACTCCTCCCAGCTGCCTGTGTCTTCCTGGGTCAGGACCCCTGAGTGAGTCACGTTGGGGGTCCCAGCAGCCAAGGTGGGAGGAGAGCCGGGTCCCCCCGATGGATACTGGATAGGAACACAGCAGAAGCTGTGAGAGCTGGTTCCTCAGGACTGAGCACCTCTGCCCAGATGTCCTCAGAGACACTCCCGCTGCCCAGTTCAGCCCAGAGAGCCAGGGCCCAGTGCCAAGTAGGCTCTCTGCTTGAGAGGAACGTCCCGGGAGTCATTACACCTCTCTGCCCAGAGGCTCAGGTATCCAGGCTCTGGGTGGGCCAGCAGGCAAAAAGAAGGGGGCTGTGGGTCTGGGGCCCTGGTGTGGGTCCCCCAGCAGTCAGAGGCCTTGGTGACCACAGAGCCAATGGGTAAGGGAGAAGGGGGACTGGGCTCTGCCCCACTGAAGTCGGTGGCACCAGGCTCCCGAAGGGTCCCTGGGAGGAAGACCAGCATGAGAGGAAGTATTGCAGAAACCTCAGGCACCTCCTCTGCAGGGTGGGCCCGGCTGGAGGGCCCATATCAGGGAGGTGGGCCTTCGGGCTACAAGAGAAAGGAGCGGCTAGTGCCGCATGGAAGGCAAGCCTGGTGTACAGAACGTGGCATCAGCTGAGCAGGATGAGGTCTCCCTGAGACAGGCTTGCACCTGGACACAAGCCTCCTCCAGCAAGAAAATACAAAGGAAGTATCAATATAAGGGACTAAAGATAACTGCGTGCCTGCGCAGTTGGGGCAAATTCTGGACAACGAGATACAAAGAGACCAAGGTGTGGGCACACCTCCTGAGCCACCCCTCCGCCCGACCCCTGGACACACCCCCACACAAGGAACTGGCTCACCCCACCTCAGCTGGCGAGCAAGCAATGGAACCTGTTACTTGTCCCTTGTTCTCGCTCCCCGCTGCTACAACAGGGGCCCGAATAAAGCCTTGCCTGAATTTCTTTTCTGGCCTCTGATACATTTTTACTGATTAAGGAGGCCAAGGACCCAGTCGGCAACATCCCCACCAGTCCTGAGGAATGCTGGAAGAGCCCGGGATGCCAGGGGCTGGGGCCAGAGGTGCCCGCGACCAGGAGAGGGGTCTGAGCTACCTCCAGATGGAGCAGCCCCAGGTCCGGAGAGGCTCCAAGCTGGACAACCGGCCAGGGCTGGGGCACCAGAAGCTGGGGGCCTGGGATGCACACTGGGCTGGAAGGCAGTGTTGGGGAAGCACCAGGCAGATCTGGTGGGGACCTGGTTTAGTGGCTGGGACTCGTGCCACCTGCTAGGCTTGGCTTTACCAGGGTGGTGACGGACAGGGCTGGGGAAGATGCCCCTGGAAGCTGGCGTCCTCAGGACCAACAGGTGGCAAGCTGAGGGGTGGCAGGCAAGGCTGGTCAGGGCTACCCTGGCTCTCCCACACTGAGGAGGCGCCAAGCTTTGCGGAAAGGCAGGCAGGGCCCAGGACTGCCGGGGCACCCAGGCCTCCCCGAGCAGGGTCTCTTGCCCACTCACAGCGGATGGGAGCCCAGGCCTCACTGAGGACACTTCAGAAGGAAGGGCCAAGGCCTCAGCAGGCAAGAGGCTGGCGGAAGCCCCTAGCTTCTCTGCCGTGAGGCCCCAAGCCAAAGCCCCAGTCCCTCTGACAGCGGGGCTTGGGGAAGGGAGGTTGGTAGGGTCTGAGGACAAACAGCCGCCACGGTCGGAATCGCAGGCTGTGAACTATGGGGAGGAGAGAAGACCGCCCCGGGCTCACCACCCGCACCTGAGAAGGAGAGGGGCTTGTAGATGATTTTATCTGATGGCTGGTGGAGAAAGGAGCAAGGGACACCCCCTGCCAGGCCTAGTAATCATTGGAGAGGCCTCTTGAGGTCCTTCCAAGGAGCACAGGGGCTCAGCACATCATTCCCAGGAGCCCAGGTTCTCGCTGCCCTGAGAAGGCACAGGGGCCTGGGGGTGGGGTCCCTAGAGGACAGAGGCAGCGGTGCAGGAGGCAGAGTGACCAGTTCAGGCTGAGGCTGGGGAGGGGTGGAGGGGGTGTCAGATGGGGTGGATAGCTCCGTTGACAGACGTAGGAGCCTCTGGGTGGGCAGCGGCTAGGACGCCCAGAGTTGGGATCCCCAAGGAGGCAGCAGTGTACCCAAGGAGCCCCCCATCTACCTGCCAACCTGAGTCCAGCCAGGGGAGCGAGAGGAGGGACTCTGCAGCACCTCCCCTGCCCTGGGGCCTGGACGGGCTGCATTAGACTGCGCTGCGGCACCCCCTGGGCCGGGGGCTGGGGGAGCTGCCCGAGGACAACAGCCAGAGCAGAGCCCAGCGCTCACCGGCCGGAGCGCCCCTGCAGCCTTCCTCACACCCACACCCTCCCCAGGCTTCTTCAGCTGGGGCCGGGCCTAAGGGGCAGCAGGCACCACTCCCACTTCCAGAGGGGCCTGGGGGGGTCAGAAGAGGCACATTCAGTCAGGTGGGAGTTGGGCCCTCCTCCATTTCTCCTGCAAGGGGCGGAGGGAGAGCAGCCCGGTCACTCCAACCCCCTCAGTGACAAGCCAGGGAGGAAGCCGTGGAGGTTACCGAGGGGAAGGGGATGTCCTCGTACCCCTCAACCCCTGCATAGCCTCGCTCTCCTCCTCCCCACGACACCCGCTCGAGACAGAGCTTCCCCCTCACTCACCTCTTTGCAGGCTTAACTCCTGGCAGCAAAACTAGCTGGTTGGGCCGCTCAGCCTTTTGTACTGGGCTGGGGAGCCAGGTGGGGCAGCCAGGGGGCAGGGCCTCACTCAAGCTGGAGGCTCACCTGAGCACCCTCCTCCATTTATTAGGGCAAGAGGTGCACGTGATGTCTAGAAAGCCCACCTGGGTGAGGAGAGAAGCCCAGCCAGGGCAGGTCTGAGCCAGGCCAACAGGGGGCGGAGCGGAGCCAGGTACAAAGGCTCCTGGCCTCCCCGCTGGCCCAGAACCCTCAGGACTGGCTCTAGGTGTTAACACAGGCCCCGACTTGATGTGACCATCAGCAAGTTCCTGTACCAGTTTCCCCATCTGTAATCTAGTGGGAGTAGTAGTCCGTGTTACTGGAACACCTGACTCAGCATCACCTTCAATTAAAACCCAGGTTCCTGGGGGCTTCCCTGGTGGCGCAGTGGTTGAGAGGCCGCCTGCCAACGCAGGGGACACGGGTTCGTGCCCCGGTCTGGGAAGATCCCACATGCCGCAGAGCAGCTGGGCCCATGAGCCATGGCCGCTGAGCCTGCGTGTCTGGAGCCTGTTGCTCTGCAACGGGAGAGGCCACAACAGTGAGAGGCCCGCGTACCGCAAAAAAAAAAACCAAAAAAAACCCCCAGGTTCCTGGGCTCTGCCCAAGACCCTTCTCAGTGGGGCCCGGGAAACCATTTCCCAGGTGATTGTTTGAAAAGCCCTGCCTGGGCACAGCCCAGCCCAGGAGCCTTAGCCGGTTACAGGGAACGGTGGGGTCAGAACCAAAGCAGAGTGGGCCCCACTCCAGTTTCCTTGAGGGCTGGGGGGCACCCAGCACACTCAGCTCCACACCCCACCGCCCCCTTCCTTGCCCTCAGCTCTTAGCCATCGATATCCCCACCAAAGAATGGAACAGGCTTTCTGAAAAACTGTAAGGGGTGATAGCACTGCCTCCCTGACAAGAGTCCTGGGGCAGAGTTCTGTTCCCGTCCCCTCCACCTTAGGCTGGGCTCCTTAGGATGCTGTCGTATCTCCTCCCTTAACAGACCCCTCAGGCCAGGGCCAGGTCTCTCCCCTCAGACTGGGCTCCCAGGACACAGTTGTCCCAAGGGACGCAGCCGCCTCCCCCTACCAGCTCCAGCTCTGCACTGCTCTCATCCAGCCTCTGCACCATTACGGTCCTCTAGGGCCCCGGGCGGACTCGGGTGCGGAGTCCTATCTCGAGGCCTCAGATCCTGCCAGGTAACTGCGCAAGATGCACGCCTGGCACGTGACAGGGACACAGCAGGTATACAAGGCAGGCAGGAAAGGAGGGAAGAGGGCAGAGGAAAGAAGGAAGGAAAAGAAAATTAAAAGCAAAGAAGGGAAGAATCACAGCCAAATCCAGCAAGGCCCTGGTAGCCGGGTGGGTGAGGCTGGCAGGCTGCAGAAGCCCAGGGCCCGGGGGTTCGGAGTGACCTCGCCTACGATGCAATCCTGTCTCTCCCTGCCTATGCTAGTAGCCCGGAGTGATTCAAACTCTCCAACACTTCAGCTTTCTGTAAACATGAACCACACCCCAGCTCTTCAGGTTGCAAGACAGAGTTGACGTGGTAGGAGCAGACTGGATCTGAGCCTTGTTTCCGGGCCCCGCCTCCTCCCATCTCGTTCCGGCACTCCAGCCACACCTATTTCCTCTGGGACCCTGCACATGCTGTTCACCTGACTCAGGAAGCACTTGGCACTCATTTACCCACATCTTCCTACTTGGCTCCAAGGCCCACTTCAGGCAGCACCTCTTCTGGGACCCAAGGACACCTCCTCACACCCCCAGTTAGGTCAGGTCCCTTCTGAGCTTCCATGGCACCCTTCCCCCAGGTTCTGCACTGCAGTCACCACGTGTGTTGGAGTTACCTATCTCCTGGCCTGGGAAGGACTCCAAGGGCCTGTGTGGATAGAGTACTGGGGGCAATGGGTCTCCACAAATAGTGTAGCTGAGCTCAGTGAAGACCCACAGATATTAGGATAGATGCTGGCAGGTGTGACCAGCCCTCACAGACTGGCTCTGCCCAGACTGAGTGGGAAACCACGGCCAGGAGGCAACCTCAGCAGTCCTGAGAACAAACCTCTATGGGAATACATGCCAGCAGAGGCAGGGTGTCTGGAGGGAACCTAAGCCCAGCTAAGGTTGTAAGAGGGGCCGGCCCTCAGTGGAGAGATGGGGACAGCTCTGTTTTACCCAGCCCTTGGCAGGCACATCCTTGGTCCTGGCAGAGGGGCACACAATAGGGTCTGGTGACCAGCACTTCTCACTGGGCAGTGGGCTACATACCAGCGACCACCAGGACCCACATGGGTCTCAGGAGGGAGAGGCTTTGCCTGAGCAGGGAAACGGCTGCACCGCGGGCATGTGGTGAGGGCCCATGTGGCCAGAGCTAGCGGGCACAGCGTGCTTGTCGGCCTCAGCATCTTCTGGGCTGGGAGCAGGGAGAGCTGCAGCCTCTGAGTGAAGGGCTAGCGATGACATCACCTGGCGATGACATATGAAATCTATGACCTCCCCCCAAGACACAGTCAGGCCCCAGGTCCAAACACAACCCAAATGCTTTTATGTTTAATGGCCTGCCTCCAGGGCCCACAGCCTTATCACAGACCTTAACTAGGCCAAGGGCCTGGCTTGCCAGCCTCTGGCTCAGTTCAGCACTCTGCAAGAAGGTACCCCACAGCAGGCCTGGCTGATGCGGCCCTGGCTTGGGGAGGGCCAACGTCCTTAGTCGACATCTTCGGAGACCTCCCAGGACTGAGCTGTCACTCAGCCTGTCCCTTTTTTAGTCCCTGAGTCCCTGCAGCTGCTTGGCTTCTGGCAAACACACAACTTTCCTGGGAAAATGCACCAGGTTGGGGCGGCACCTCAGGGAAGTCACTGGTGTCAATTCAGCACAGGCTGGGGCCTCCCAGGGGTGAAAGCAGCAGGCCCAGGACAAGGATGCCAGCCCCAGGCTGTATCCCTGCACCCCCTGTAGCAGGGGATGGGAGGGGAAGGCTCCCTCAAGGAGCTCCAGACTCGGGGGTTAGCGCCCAACCCCAAATGCTGGGGCTGTATGTAGCCCTAGGCTTTCCTGGGAAATGACTCTAGAAAGTGTGTGAGCCATACACACTGGACAACATACCACTCTAAGATGACCAAGTCCTATGACACATCAAGACTTTCTAGAGGAAGGTTCTGCGGGCCTCAGCCTCCTATTCCAGGCCCTGGCTGAGATCTAGGCTCCTGTCCTGGGCAGGAAGCAGAGAGCAAACCGTGATGGGTGTGTGTCAGGCATCACCCCACAACAACCCTGTGAGGTAGGCTGTGTTGTCCTATTTTACAAATGGGGAACTGAGGGCGCAAGAGAGGAAGTGGCCTGCCCGTTTACACAGCAAGGAACAGGAGCCAGGATTCAAGCCCAAGTCTGTCGGGCTCCAAAGCCCACACGTTTTCTCTAAGGAAGAAATAGGAAGTAGTCCTTTCTGATAAAGGCCCTCAAGTTAAAAGTTCAGGGGCTCTCAGCCCAGCCTGGGGTGGGGGGCGGGGGCAGGGTAAGAGCTGGAGAAACCCCAAGGCCATGTCCGCTCCTGGCCCTCAGCAGCTGGACTGGCAGAAGCGGGGCACAGAGAGTGATCCCCAGATCTCCAAACAGCAGAGGCGACCAAGGCTACAGCTGATGACTCTGGCTGCCCAACAGCTGCGGGCGGGGCGCGGTCCGGTCGGGTCCTGAGGCCTTGTGGCCCCAGGTGGGCAGAGCCAGGCCATTGAGCCAGGCGGATTCGAGCAGGCTGCGGAAGCGCGCCCTCATCGCGGGGCCGGGCAAGCTGGCACCAGCAGCAGGGGTGGGTGAGGCACCTCGGGACCCTCCTCCAGCAGTTGCCTCTGCTTTCTCCAGGCCAGGGGTTGGTGGCTTCCTCCCCGGCTTTTTGGCTTTGGGGGCAGACAACTTCCAAGCCAGGTCTAGGCTCTCTGGCTCCTCTCTGGCCACGGTGGGCTCTGAGGAGGGCACAGATCCAGCCTCAGTGTCAAAGTCACCTGGAAAATGAACATACCGTCAGGCTGCAGACCCCCAACACCCTCAAGTCCCATCTCCAGGCCTCCAAAGCCATCTAGACCTGTGGTTCTACTGTCCCAGGTCAGGGTGGCCCTGGCAGGGTCACAGACATCATAACCCTTTCCCAGCATGTGCACACTGGCCAGACCGTCATGCCCGTCAAGCCGAAAGGGTGTGCTTCTCCTCAGGTGATACCAGCACTCTATCTAATGGGGGCACCCCCCAGGAACCCTTTGGGTGCAAGGACAAGAGGAAAGGGCTCAACAGGCCAGAAACCATTGGTCTGATCCAAAGGCTCACTGAACAGGTGGGGAAACTGAGGCACAGAGAGAGAGGACCCTGCCACATATAAGGGTACCATCATTCTTCTGTCACATCACCCCCAGAACCGGAACAAGAGCCAGGCAGGGACTGCCCAGACAGCAGTGCCCGGAGGGAGGGAGGGAGTGGAGGAAGGGGTGGAGGGAATGGGAGGGGCCTTCTGACCAAGAGCACACCTACCTGGAAGGGGGGCTGTCAGGGGAGCACTGTCTAAGGACACCACTGAGGAGTGGCCCCATAAGGATACGGGAGGGAATGGGGACGGGGGCACCAAAATGCAGCCAGTGGTAGGAGGCTGGGCCCCAGACTCTCGTAGGCTTGGTCAGAGCAGGAGGGGTCTGTGATGTGCCTGTGACCCACTGTCCAGAGGACCTGTCCCTCTCTGGGCCCCAGAGAGCCCAAATGTATAGAGAGAAGACTGGCTGGGGGGCTTGTGGGTGAGGCATGACACCCACCTTCACTCTTTCTCACCCAGGAATAGAACGCTTGTACTTGCATTTTCTTTGCACCCCATTAGGGCAAATGCCCCAACTTTGTAAGTGCTCAGCAATGCTCATCACCCACACCCCAAACTCCACATCAGCACCTCGCTGCCTCAGGCCCCCTCTCCACCCCGATATGGAGTCTGGACCAGGGCAAGACTGCCAGGATGGGAAGGGGACAAGAAAGTTTCTGTGGAGACACAACCAGAGGCCTGGTGGACGTAAGGCAGGGGGACTACAGAGCGGGCCTCTGGCCTCAGTGCCAGATGTCCTGAAGTAGGACAGGCAACGACAGACACCACTTGACACCATCACCAAAGCCGCGGCTGAAGAAGAGTGATCCTGATGGTACCCGCCGTGAGGCACTACAGCCACTCCCCAGAGCAAGGTCCAGCTACCTGGACTGAGGCAGAAGATGCTCCCAGACACAAAAACAGCACATTGGAGAACACCGTGCACAGGTTATTTGGTAGGGAGAAGCAAACCACAAAAGGACGCTCCAACTTACAGGCAATTTCTGTGTGTGTAAATATCTGGGAGGACTGGGGAATTACACATTTAAAAGTGTTCCGGGAGGGAGGGAGGGTGGGACCCCTCCCCCTCCCAGGTTTGGGGTACGAGGTGCTGGATGAGTGCAATGCTGCTGAGACGGGAAAGACGGGGATGGGAAGCGAGCTCAGGGGAAAGGTCAGGAGCGTGGTTTGGGAGGAGTTAAGGGTTGAAGAGCCCCCAGGTGCAGAAGCCCAGCATGCAGTCAGGTATTTGGGGCTTGAGCTCGGAAGAGGGGAGTGGGGCGGGACAGACACAGGGGGAGATGACCTCAGACAGGCACAACAGAGGATGAGGGGGGAACCTGGGAGGGTGCTGCGCCAGGGAAGGCCAAGTTTTCCTGGGGACAGAGCAGTTGGCATGTTCAGAGACTTACAAAGGAGGCTGTGCAGGCACTCATTGATGCTGGGCGAAGAGGGATGCGGGCATCCACAGAGCCTACCCTGGAAGGCCAGCCCCCTCCCCAGGCACGAGCTCTTTCCAGAAGCCCGGGAATCCCTCAGCCCCTGGCTGTGACCACTCACACAGCCCACACACCTGTCACTCGCTCACACAGCTCCGGTGGCTACTGGGGCTGCCCCATGCTCACCCAGCTGGCGGCGTACACAGTCTCGCCACTGAAGGCCCAGCAGGTCAGGGTAGATGTCGGGCAGCTGGCGCAGCGCCAGCAGCTTCAGCATGCGCGACGTGCAGCCGTGCAGGGCGCGCTCCCGCAGGGCCCGCTCCTCCGACAGCGTGGTGGGCCGCAGCTCCACGCGATGCTCCTGCAGCACGTGGTCCACGGAAGCGGGTGGCAGCCGCGGGAAGAGCCGCTCCTTCACCAGGTGGATGGGCACAAAGATGGCCCCGGCCCGCACCACGTGGGGGAAGGGGCACTGCTGCGTGCACACGAAGCTCTGCAGCTGGGACAGCAGCTTGCTCAGCAGCCCCTGCACACCCTGGCAGTCCTGCCACGCCGCCCGGCCCCAAGGCCCAGACGTCTCAAGCCACTCGCGCAGCTTTTCCGGTGGGGAGTGGGCCACTGAGCCCGAGATGGCGTCACAGAGGGAGGCATGCAGTCCTGCAAAGTGTTGCTCTGGGGAGTCTGTTGTGGCGGGAGTAGACGCTGGAGCGGGGCCTACAACTGGAGCCAGAGCCGGAGCTGGAGCCGGAGCCGGAGCCGGTGCAGGTGATGGAGCCGGAGCAGGGGCCGAGGCGGGGGAGGTCATGGCTACAGCTGGAGGGCTGGGCAGAGCCAGGTTGAAGCAGGCCACGGGCAAGGGCTGGGTGAGAATCTGTAGTCCAGCGGGCACAGGTGTGGGGGTGGGTGCAGGCTGAGCAGGGGCTGAGGTGGGCACAGCTGGGACCACGGCTGGAACCACAGTTGCAGGCAAGGGTGCTGGCCGGAGGATCTTGAATTTTCGGAACATGAAGGCTACAGAGCTGTGGAAGTTGGTCCTTGGGGTCGCCTCTGTGGTCACTGGCACCCCAGGCAGGTCTGGTGCCTCTGTGACTACCTTTTTCAGGACTTGCCGATCTGAGACTGTGTCCCCCACACCTGGCACGTCGGAGACTGTGTTTCCCGCACCTGGCACATCCACAGCTGCAGTGGGCTTGGCATGCCCTGCGGGATGAGGGACCTTGGTAGGGGGGGCCTCTGCCGCGGTCTTCTTCACACTCAAGTCCAGTGCCACCTCCTCCTTAAGTGAGGCGTGCACACTTGAGGGGGCTTCCCGGCCAGGCAGAGATCCCCTGCAGTCTTTGTCATGGTTCTCACTGGGGGCTGGGGCCGGGTCTGGCTCAGCTGTGGCCTCAGGTGCCTGCACGTCCAGGTAGTCACGGTAGGGGGCCAAGCTGAAGACGTTGTCGATAATGGGCATGGGTGGGGAGCTGGGTGGCAGTGTGCCCTCGTTCTGCGTAAGAGACTGGCGCTCCTGGGCACAGGGCGGGAGTGCCGGTGGGGTGCGTGGAACTGGACTATCTCCAATGATGATGGGTGCCCCAGGGTGCTCATCGAGGTGGGGCTGGGGCTGCTCTCTCCTGCAGCTGGGCAGCCACATCTTCTCCTCAGCTTCCTGCACTGGCTTCTCTGCAGGCCTTGCAGGCTCTAAGCATGGCTGGCTGGCAGGCAGAGGCTGGCATGCCCGCTGGAAGGCACCGGGCTGTGGCACAGCCTGCACACTGTTCTGGGAAGGCGGCGTCCCTCCGAGCCCTGGGGATGCTCCATAGAGAGAGAGGTCATCCCGGGCGTAAGGAAAGCCCAGCGTCTGGGGAGCAAAGTCCACTGGGCAGCGTGGGGCGAGAGGCGGCTCCAGCCTGAGGCCTGGCGAGGGTGCTGGGAGGGGGGCAGAGGGGTAGGAATAAGTGTCCAACCCCACTGGGGGCATATAGGGTGTCTGAGCTGCCTGCTGCCTCAGGTAGGGGCTGCTTAGCCCACCAGCTGGGTACCCGGCCCCCTTGTGGGCTCCCAGAGGCTGCGGTGGAAGCACTGAGCCATAGCTGCCCTGCTTCTCTGGGTGGCGACAGGCTGGAGGGCAAGGGAGGGCCTGTGCGGGATGGGGCAGCGGATAGTGGGTGGGCACTGCATCCTGGCAGGCTGGTCCCAGAGGTTGGGCCAGCTGCGTCCAAGGACTGGGGGGTCCCTCGGACAATGCCTGCTTGGGGTCCCCAGAGTAAGGACCTGCATACTTGGAGGCCAGGAAGCCCGTGCTGTGGATGGTCCGATACTTCTCCAAGAATGCCTGGCACGGGGAGAAGCTCACCGAGGAGTCTTTGCCAGACGTCCCAGCTGGCACCCCACGCAAGAAGGTACCATCCAGGGACTGGCCCTTGCCAGGAGCTGGGGGCAGAGAACAAGATGGGTCGGCGGGGGGTAACAGGGATCCAGTCACCAGCGTCCAATCAACATCCAGGGGCCTCTTTGCTGCCCCTTCCCCCAGGCAGGTTGAGAGCCCATAACACAGAGGGTTGCGGTAGACAGGTTTGGGTGCCGCCAGTGGTGGGCCTGGGTAGGAGTGAGCCTGGGCACCGAAGGGTAGGAGCTCAACCGGGCCAGAGTCCTGTACTTTCTCGGAGCTTTCTGTGGGTGGGCGGTAGAGCAGGCAGCTGGTCAGAAGGTTGTCTGCCCGAAGTGGGGGTCCTGCCATGCTGGTGGGGTACAAGGGTGGGTATGGGGTCCAGGATGCCAACCGCTCAGACTCTGTCTTCGGAGGACCCCCCATGGGGCAGGAGAAGTAGGCACCTTTGTAGCTGCAGGGCTCCTGGTTACCAGCAGAGGGGGGCAGGCTGTGCCCGGGCCCAGAGTCTGCCTCTAGGCGGGGCAGCTTGCCATACAGCACAGGCCCCAGGGTGCCCAGTGGCCGCTTCTCCGCCATCACTGTGAAGGCTTCAAGCCCTCCAGGGCCCCAGCTACTCAACTGCTGACCTGGGAGAGAGAGGGAGAGGCAGGGGCTGTCAGAAAAACAGGTTACAGGCAAGCAACAGAAGGCTGTTGCTCTTGCTGGCTCGTTGCCATGCCCAAGAACTTGGCACTTAGTAAATGCTCAATAAAGACTGTATGGATGAATGAATGAAGGCATGAGCCAACTTTATTTTGTAAGCTGCAGAACGCTCTGTTTAGTGAATTCTTGTACAGCAGCCCTAACGTACCCCCGCCCCTAATCCAGGAGCCCCTTCTGTTCAGCTTTCCTCCACATGACTCCCAAGGCCCCTTCCACGATTTCAGACTTTGTAGAACACAGTCTGAGGATCGCTTCGCTTGGCTACTCCTCCTGCCCACACCTCCACCCATTTACAGATGAGGAGACCCATTCATCCCAAAGTCACTGATGAAAGACATGGGAGGAGAGGCAGGCTTCCTGCCTCTCACTACAATTTCTTATTCCAAGATGCCACAGTGATCTCTAGATGCCTACAGCAGCCAAGACGTGGAATCAGGCACTGTCTGCAAATTCAGATTTCCTGTGATACTCTAGATCTCACTTTCTGACCTGCCAGTCTCATCGAAAATAGCAGAGCCAGGCCTGGAACCCGGGTCCCTCGGCCCAGGAGGACAGATACTGGGCTTAGTTTTAGGGGGCAGTACCCCAGCACAACCCTTTGTATAAGCCCCACCCCAGACCCACCCCTAGGAGGAGAGCAAAGGCTGTCCAGCAGATGGTGCTGTGGCGCCAACAGGAAGCTCCCAAAAGGCGAGGGGAGGAGAACCTGTGCCCATCCCAGCCCCCAAACTGCAGCTATTCCAAGAACATGGGGGCAGCACAGGACCATGGAGCAGGTGGGGAGGCCAGAGGATGTGAATATGCAGGGAAGGAGCTTCCAGGGGTCACAACGTGCTAGTTGGCAACGACCCCCATTGTATTGATGGAAAAACTGAGTACCAGAGAAAGACTAAGGTCCTCAAGCAAGGCCAAGCAAGGACTGGGACCTATAGGCTCAGAGAGGTCAAGTGTGGCTTTCCTCAAGGCAGCAGGCACCCAATGGCACAGGAGGGGGTCATCTGAGGCCAGTCTACTAGGACCACATTGACCTGCTTCTACCTCCCCCAGTGCCCTGTTCCCCGAAACCCTCAGGTGGCTTAGAAAGGATGAATCAGCTCAATCTTGCTATCATTAGGCCATGGGACAGGTGTCACAAGTTTCTATCACCAAGCCAAGATCAGCCCCCCCTCTCAGTCTTCTCCCTTCCCGCTGGTGGCCAACGACACCCACACACTCAGAGTTAGACCAGCACATTTTGGGGACAGAAAAAGCCGAGGGTAATATGGGGGCCAATGCCTACTCTCATCCCAGCCTAAGTGCACCAAGGAAGCCAGACACGACTCAGAAGGAAAGCTATCTCATCTCCGGGCCAGAATCCAACACCTCTGGCCAGCCTGGAGAAGTGGGTGCTCCGAGAAGACAGGAAGGAGCACCAGAGCAACAATACCGACAGCAGCGCCCTGTGACAGGGCCCTGCACCCCAAGCGGAAAGCCCCCACCCTGCTGCACAGCAACTTTGCAAGAAGGGGTTGTATGGTTTGGGGAGTGCTGAGCCCCCCTGCCCTTGGGGGGCTCTGGGTTAATAAGTGCTGGCTCTAGTCTCACCTCCCCCACACACTCCTTGGGGCCTTCTCCATACCCACCCCCGGCCCCAAGAGCCCTTCTCTCCTAGGCTCTGCCCATTGCATGCCCTTGACCCTGGAGACTTCCTGAGACACTCCCCTGGGACTTAGCCCAATAAAGGTGAGGCCACTTGGGACCCCCAAGAGTCTTTGGGGGAGAGATGGGGGCTCCAGGGAGCCGGCAGAGGACTATGAAGGGTATGGGGGTAACATTACCTCCGGCTCTTAGGAGATGGGGAGAGCCCAATATTTTACACACTCCACTCTAAACGGTAGCCAACATGTAGGTGCCTCCTTCCCCCCCACACACGCAGCAAGAGGCAAGCAATTGTTCGGAGAAGGGCGGGACCCCAGGGGGCAGGGTCACATCACCCTTTGGGCCACCGAGCTGCTTGCTGGCTGAGGTTGCAGCTGGGCTGGGAGGACCAACCTCGAGCAGCGCCCAGAAGAGCCCAGCACCGCTGTGCCATCCCTGCCCTACGCAGCAGGGGGAGCAAACAGCGCCGTGGCTCGATTCCCTCTTCCAACGCCTAAGGGGTCTCCGGATGGACGCTGGGCAAGACCAGGAAGAAGAGAGCGATCCTGCCCAGCTGTGGCCAGCGCTTGGACTCTCTGAGAGGGCTGAATCGGCTCCCCTTCCCGTGTTCTCACACCTCCCCCAGCTGAGGCTCTGGGCCCTGCCCACGCTACAACCGCATCTAGGGGCAGCCCAGGCTCCCGTGGTGGGGGAAGGGTCGCGGGATCCGCTCCACCCCCTTTCCCCTACCTGCTTGGTCCATAACTCCGGTGCCTGGGGCCCTCAGTCGACCTAGCTTTGGGGCTGCCGCCACACCCGAACCCGGCGGCTTCCGGGTGTCCCCATGCCCTGACCTGCGGCGCTGGGGCGCACGTGCACCCCAGCAGGCCGATACACAGGCCGCCGCCACCCATGCAAACCCGTGCCTGCAAGTACGTGCCTGGCCCATATCTGCACACACGCCCCTCCAGAACTGCGTTCTCCCCTCGTTCGGGCCCCCGCGCACCCAGCCCCACGGACCGACACCCAAAGACTGGCGGGAGGGCGGGGGCAGGGGGCGGCCCGGCAGCAGAGTCCGGGCAGCCACCGCCTCGGGGCGATCCCGCCAGCCTGGGCTGCGGCCAGAGGGTGAGTCAAGCCGTAGCGAGGAAACCGCAGGGCCGTCCCGTCCCAGTAGGGCGCGTCCAGGGCCCCGCGGCGCCTCAGTGCCAGACGCCCCCCAGGCCAGCCCCCCGCCGCCCCCTCATCTCCGCCCGGGCAGTCCACGTGAGCCGGGCCCCGCGGGAGGCCCGAGGGCTCGGCCTGAGCTCCTCTTCGCCAGCCCCACGCCGGAGGATCGGGTGCCGGGGCCCCGCCGGGGCTCCAGAGAGCTACCAGGCCCCGGGGGCCTCGAAGTCCGGGGAAAGTTGGGGCAGCGGCGCGACCCCTGCCCCGCAGCCCGCCAGCCGGGGGTCCGCGGCAGCCAGGAGCCAAGCCACCTCAGCCCAGGCCCAGCGCGCTCCATCCCCGGGCCGGCCGGCAGGGGCGCCCTGGGGCAGCGCCACCCGCCCCTTCCCCACGCGCCGCCCGCAAACTCGGCCCAAGTTTCCGCGCCCGCCGAGTGGGCAAGCTCCTACCTGCAGGGCACCGGGGTTCCCGCTGCTGCTGCCCGGGGCCGCGGCCGCATCCTCCAGCGCCGCCGAGGCCGCGGGTCCTTGTCCTGCCGGGCCCTGCACGGGAAGTCGCGGTGAGCACCGAGCCCGGAGCCACCCTCCCCGCTGCCTTTCGCGCCGCCGCCGGGCGCCGTCTGCGGTCCCAGGCGGGGCGGGCTGGGGGCGGAGCGGGGGCGGGGCGGCCCGCGCGGTTGGGGCAGAGCCCGGCCGCGCCTCTGGGAGCTTGCGCTCCCCTGAGCCCCGGGGTGCGAAAGGCCTGCCTCTGCCAGACCTCTGGGGGCCGGGCCGCGGGCGCTGTGCACGGTCTGTACCCACCGCACTCTGCGAACCATCGCCTGGCGCGCCCATCCCACGCCTTCATTCAGTCACTCCGTTAGATCATTCATTCATTGTCACTTTCTAGCTATGCGGCCTTGCGCCCGCCACTTGACCTCATGATCTTTAGTTTCCTTATTTTAGTAAAACTGGGATTATATCATAGTGGTTGTGTCGTAAGGCTTAGAAGAGTTTGTATTAAAATATCTGGCTCTCAAAAATATAAAATAAAGGGCTTCCCTGGTGGCGCAGTGGTTGAGAGTCCGCCTGCAGATGCAGGGGACGCGGGTTCGTGCCCCGGTCCGGGAAGATCCCACATGCCGCGGAGCGGCTGGGCCCGTGAGCCATGGCCGCTGAGCCTGCGCGTCCGGAGCCTGTGCTCTGCAATGGGAGAGGCCACAACAGTGAGAGGCCCGCGTACCGCAAAAAAATAAAAAATAAAATAAAATATCTGGCTCTCTTGGGCTAGTACAGTTGCATTAGGAGGCTGGAGAAGGGCTCCTTAGTCTGTCCCCTCATCTCGGTGCAGCCAGTGAGGGCAAATTCCAAACAAATGTATCTCAACTCCTGTTAGGGCACCATACCTGTCTGAGGAAGGGGTGATTTCCCCATCTCTGGGGTGAGCCAGGAATGAGGATGCTGGGAGGTTTGTTAAGTGGCCTCTGAACCTTTAGGACAAATCTCCCTCAAGCCTGAGCACGTGTAGCCTGGGAGGTGGGATGGGGTGGAGCATCCCCAGCCAGGAATGGCCTGTTACCAAGAGAGGGGCTGGAGTGGTGGAAGGGCTTTCTCTATTTGCCCTCTCTGGGCCATCTGATGTTGGATGAGAAGCCCCTTGGTGCTGCTACCTTCTCTGAAAAACCTGGTCCCTCACATTTCCTGGGCTTCCCAAGGACTGGGGACAGGTGTGTGCAGTGGAGGGAGGGAACAGGTGAACATGCCAAAGGTCAGAGCAAGTTCATGGGGCAAAACCACGCAGGCCACTTGCTCAGATCCCAAAGGTCAGGCCTGCCTGAGTCGAAGGGCAGAGCAAGCGTAAGGCCACAGTTTCCAAGAGTAAGGAAGCAGCTAGAGCAGCAGGGGCTGGGCACTGCAGGGAGGAAGAGGAAGTGAAGGTCACCTGGGGGCAGCAGAGAGGGTGTCACTTAACTGAGAGCTGGAGGGTTCTTAGAAATAGAGTTCGGAGAGAGCTGGCAAGCAGAGACTCAGAGAAGGTTGGGGCTTTCCCGAAGTCACACAGCAGTCTGGGATCAGGAAAGTGCATCTGTGTGCTGACAAGTAGGAGTCATGGCCAAGCCTCAGCTCACAGGCTGTTCTTCCCCACTTTTGCTCTTCACCAACCTGGCCTCCCCTCCACGACACCCATTCCCCCGCCTCTGCCCTGTAATTAGGGGTTGGGTGGAGGGCAGTGTTCTCAGCTCTTAGGGTCTAGTCTCAGAACTCTCGGGTTGTATGCTCAGCGGGCTGGGTGTTCCCTTCAATCTCTCTGAGCCTGAACGGAGCCCACCCCGGCCAGGATGAGCCTGACGAGACCCCAAGGGGGCCAATTAAGAATCTTCAGCCCAGGACTTCCCTGGTGGCACAGTGGTTAAGAATCCGCCTGCCAATTCAGGGACACAGGTTCGAGCCCTGGGCCTGGAAGATCCCACATGTCGCAGAGCAACTAAGCCCGTGTGCCACAACTACCGAGCCTGTGCTCTAGAGCCCGTGAGCCACGACTACTGAGCCCACGTGCCACAACTCCTGAAGCCTGCATGCCTAGGGCCCGTGCTCTGCAACAAAAGAAGCCACTGCAAGGAGATGCCCATGCACTGCAACGAAGAGTAGCCCCCACTCGCTGCAACTAGAGAAAGCCCGCACGCAGCAACAAAGACCCAACGCAGTCAAATAAATAAATAAATAAATTTATTTATTTAAAAAAAAAAAAAGATTCTGCAGCCCCACTGAGTCTTGTCTTAATTCAGAGACCACTTCACAAAGTATCTTCACTTAATCTTTGTCTTTTCCATTCCTTTTAGGCATCACTTAGACACCTTGGACTACAAAAGAGATATCACAGGGCAGGGGACTTGGGAGCCACTTTGTAAATTTCTGAGACTCAGTTTCCTTACCTGCAAAACAGGGACCATGAAACCTGCCTCACAGACTGCAATGAGTGTTGAGTGAACAAAATCAGTGTGGGAAATTGCTTGTAAACCATAAAAAGTTTGTAGAGTATCAGCTGACTATGAGTTCCTGAAGGCGTGACCTTGCCCTCTTCTTCTCTATCCCAAGGTCACGTGCAGAGCCTGGGAGAGGTGCCTATCAAGCCTTTGTTGGATAAAAGAAGGTAATCAGTACAAGGTGGCTGCCTTGGGAACCCCCCCTCCTCACCCCGCACTGTGTGTTTATTAGGCTGTGGTCTTGGAGAGGAGGAATGGTATTGTGGCTGGAAGAAACAGTGTGAGCAAAAACAGAGAAGGGAAGAGTCTGCCCTTATGTGGGCTTCCTGGCTGGTGTTAACAAAGAACAGTGGCATAGAGAAGGCTGGAAGGGAGGTTTCACACTCACCACCCCCCCTCCAACACACACACCAGGGCTCCACAGGCTCCACAGGCAGATTCTCCCCCTCCACGCCACCCCAGACAGACACTGATTACTCCTCCTGGCTCCCTGGGAAGGCGAGGTAAGAGGTCAGCTTCCTGAACCTATGCTTGTTACCTACACATGGCTATTAATAACAATGCCATTCTCTCTAATGAGGCCACCCCTGCTATTTACAAATTTCTTTCCTCAGGAGCTCCTTCTCACCCCAGGAGAGGGAGATGTGGTGCTGGTAGCCACACTACAGGCAGAGAAACAGAGAAGTGTGGTGCCTTTTCCCAAGACACACAGCAATGCTCTCCCCAATCCTTTCAGACCTGGCTATAGACATTGCCTCCTTCAGGGAGGCCCCCGGATTGCTGTTATGGCACTCTCTGTCCTCTCTACTTCCTCATCCCTTCCCTCCTCCTGCCAAGCAGAGGAACATCTCAGTGCTGGTGGGTGGGCAAGGCAAGAAGGCAAGGAGCTCTGCCTTGAACGTGGCCCTGCCGTCCATCGCTTGATAGACATGATCTCATTTAATTCTTACAACAAACACATGAGGCAGGGGTGTGAGAAACAAGTGAACTGAGGTGTGACCTACTGAGCTGAGTCACCTTAGACAAACCCCGTAACCTCTCAGTTTGCTCATCAGTCAAATGGGCATGATTAGGAAATGTCACAGGGCTCATGGAGATCCAAGGAGTTCACAGCTTGTTTTTTATAGTAAGTCCTCAACCCGTGGTAGCTCTAGAGGTGGAGGGGGGAGCGGCTTGCCCACATAGCCAAGAAATGGAGGAGCTGGGACTCTCCCCCCTGCCCAGGACTCTGTGACCCCAAACCCTTCAGAGAGAATGGTGGTCAGGAAGCCTCTGCCACTCAGGCAAGCAGGGCCTGAGGGGTCCCCTGAACCAGGGGCTGTCAGCCTGGGCTCAGGGCTTCTCAGGGGGTCAGGATTAGATAGGACCTGGGGTGAGGCAGGTTCATCAGCGTGTGGTGAGCCACTTCCCAGAGATGTGCTGGAAAACCAGGGTTTCCTTCTGCAGGGAGGGCCAGGTTGGGGGCGGGGGGAACCTGCTACTCCTCCTGGGTGAGCAGGGAGTGGGGATCCTCCCCCTGCAAACTCTGGAGGAGCCTGACCCCACCTCCAGAGGAAATCAGTCTCTCAGAGGGGGATCCCAAAGACCAAGAAAGGGAGAAGACTTCACTAGGCCACTCTGAAGACCATGTCTGCCTTCTGGCTAGAAGAAAAGCCCGCACACAACAATTTGGGGACCTTGCTGCAGGAGAGGGAGGACGCTCTGATTAATTAACAGCCAGGGTGGATTGACTGTCCTTCCCTTCCTTCCTTCCACCAACTCCTGAGGACCCACAGGCTTTATGCTGGCAGTGAGTGGGACCCTGGTGCTGTTTCCCTGGCCAGTGAGAGAGATGGATAAAAAATAGACCGTGACACTCCAGTGTGATGTTTGCTTGTGTGGGGATGGGGCTGCTGTGGCCTGATAGAGGCCTGAGGGATAGGGTACTGGGCCTTGAGTCAGGGGAGGGTCCCCCATTCTGGCTATGATAGAGCCCAGCCACTGGCAGGTGGGGTGGCGTAGGGGGTCTGGCTAGGTGCTGGAAGCAGTGGGAAACATTCCCTCCCTGACTCCAAAGAGGTCTTTCTAATGCCCACATCTGACCCTGTCATCCTCCCTGCCCCCAGCTTGGAGTCTCCCATGGCTCCCCAGTGCCTTCAGGATCCAGTTTCCCACTCTGGCTTCTGCCTGCCTCCTGACTGACCCTCCCCAACCGGCCTGCCACTGCAGCCCCCAGAGCCAAAGCCGGGTCACACCTCCATGCTTTGGAATATGCTCTCCCTGAGCTTTGGCTGCCTGTCCAGCTCTTTCTTTGCTAACTCCTGTTGGTCTTCAAGGCTCAGCTCAGACCCCTTCCTCCAAGAAGCCTTCCAGAGCTCCAGGCTCAGTCTGGTCACCTCTTCTGAGGCCTCATAGCATTCTGAACTTATCTCCATGCTAGCCATGAACTTATCTCCATTACCTAGTTGCAAGCCTGGCTCCCATACTAGCCTGGGTCTGCCTGAGCACTGGGACTCTAGTGCCCAGCACAAGGCTAAGTCAGGCCGTGGTTGTGGAGTGAAGGGTTCATGGCAAAGGGGGACTGTGCACATCTGAAAGGGAAGAAAGGCAGAAAAACCTCCCCGGGCCCAGAGGTGAGAGCCTAAGAGGAGCCTCTGCTGCCAAAATCTTCCCTG